GAGAAGCGGGGGGGTGGGTGTGTAGGGGGGGGGTACAGGGCTCAGGACAGGGGCCTGAGGGGTGTGCGGGGCACAGGGTTCAGGGCACGGGCCTGGGGGGGTCTGTGGGGCTCAGAGCAGAGGGCTGGGTGTGTGAGGGGGGGCGTTAGGGCAGGGGGCTGGAGGGAATATGCCCCCTATTCCATCCCCCCCTTTCCCCAAGGCCATGCCCCCGCTTCTTCTCTGCCTCCGCCGGGAGCAGCGAGCACGCTGACTCTGCTCCTTCCCGACCCCCTCCCTTGCAAGGGCCATCAGCTGATCATCAGGCTGGGAGGTAGGGACCGAGAGGCGGAGGAGGAGCAGGAACCCAGCACACTACAGGAAGAGGCAGGGGAGCCAGCAGGACCAAGCTTCTGCCCCCTGCCCCCGTGGGGGGCGGAGGGCGGAGAAGAGCGGGCCGGGCAGGATTTTTAATGGCACGCTGCTGCCATAGGTTGCCATTAAACATCGGCTTGCGTGCCGTCTTTGGCACGCGTGCCATAGGTTGCCGACCCCTGAGCTAGACCTTAAGTGTGCTAGGATGGATTTTTAAAATAGGCATAATATCAACAGATTTCAGTGGTATTGAGCAAGTTACATACTTACTTGTGTCCTTGTATTATCTTTCCAGATAATTGCATTTCATGCATGGTCTGCAACCGACACTTCACCAGCTCTGTGGGACATAGGACCAAGGCAGCAAATGCAGAAGCAAAAGAGCCTGCAGCTGCATTCTGAAGATCACTGTAACAAAGAAACTACAGATGATGCTTGATACTCTTCAGTCACATGGTAGCCTACTGCAAGAGCACCCGTCTATTTCCTGAAAGCTTGATCAAATAAAGAAAAACTGAACAGGAGTGCAAAAAAGGAAAAGCAATCATTTAAAAGAGGTGACCAACTTAATACCTAGCTCCAGCCATCTTCATATACAACTCAAATAAATTCTTCTCCTTTAACAGCTATATAAATGTAAGTATACTATAATCTTTCCCATTTCTCTGACAAAAAAGCACAACCAATTAGATGAATCAAATAAAACCTGAAGGGACTTTTGGTAATTTCACATTCAAGACTGTATGGCTTCATTAACCCATGGTATCACAAGGCCACAGCTTCTTTACCAGTTTTTTTGCCAGTGCCTTTATAAAGATAACTGGCACCAACGTGTCCTGTGATCAACAAAGGATCATGCGCTCAGAGAACATCTCCTGCTCTAACAATTGTAGCACATGCAGTGGAATGGACATGTGCAACACAGCTCAATGAACAGTAGTCACGGAAAGGTGAGTAACTGTTTTTTTGTTTAAAATTATGTCACTACAGAGCCTCAGACTTTGGTGTCGGCAAGTGGGAGTTCTGTGGTGGAGCAAAATGAGCAGGATGATCTAAGGCACCCTTCCCTCCTTCCAGAGTTTGGATGAGTGACATGGCAGAGAAATTGGGTACAATGTAAAGAGCATGGCTGAGTTGAGCTGCTCTGCTGAGCCTCTAATGGGGTGCAGTACAGAACTCACAGACAGGGTGTGGGCATGGGGGATAGCCTTGGGATGGCTTTCAGCCACCTTTGTGTCCCTCCCAATCTTGGGATGCTCCCAGAGCTGGAGAATCCCCTGGAGTAACACAATCCCAGATTCCCAGCGGCCTGTAAATTACAGCAGCCTCTACAGGCTCTCTGACCCCAACATTCTCCCACACAAGGGCTTGCGATGGGGTCCTCTGAAGGCAATCTTACAACTGTCTTCCACAATCCCTGTACTGGGAGAAATCCTCCTGTCATTACAACTGTTGGTTCTGGGGCCCTTTTATGCCACTCTGGTCCTTTTACCTGGCAAGAAGGTGCTGGAGTAGGGGTTTACTATCTCTTGTTTTCTGTGCATTACTGCAAGGATTTTATTTTGATCTTTAAAAATAGCAAAATCCTCTCACATTCTTTAGAAATCTGAAAGTTCCATGTTTTCCCTGACACCAAATCCATCTGTCTCATGATGAGAAATTGTAATTTTGAAGCTATTTAAAAGGCTGGGACCTCTGTTCATTATATTTGGGATCTTCACAAATACTTTTAAACACTGTGAAAGCCAGTGTCTTCATAATTTAGCTCATCTATGGCTTTTATTAGACACTCAATGAGCCTGTTGACTGAACACAACTGGAGCATTGGTTACTTTGTACTCTAACCAGGAATGGAAAAACATTTGATCCTAGAAAAGTGGAAAAGAGAGTATAATTTGACTATATTAATGTTGCTCTTATCTAGTGTATCTTAAATTATGTAGTAAGTGTCAGAGTGCTGCCTAAGCAGAATTTTTCTGTTTTCTAAATATGCACTGATGCAGTTTTTTCTGAATCTATGAAAAGAACAGAAGTGCCTTAGGGGTAGTACTGAGCATTTTTAACATGCTACAAACATGTCTTTAAAACAAACAATGCTAGATTCAAGTGTATTTAAGTAGTATTTATCATTTCATTTATTGTTAAGCTAGGAGTATATGGCAGAACTGAGAATTATTTAAGGAAGCAAGTTCACTGCAAAAGTTGAGCCAAAACTCTGTTTTCTGTTTAAATTCACTTCAACAAGAAATTTTTCTGGCTTTGGAATACAGTGACTTAACCCCTAGTATCTTGATTTGGATACCACAGTCAGCCTATAGAATGAAAGGCTTCCAATTTTATCAGGGAATTTTAAATTTTAGCTTCCTTTGTACCTCTGTATTATGAGAGTCTTTAATTACATGCTATTTTTTCCCCCGAGGTTTCCTGCCTTATTCAATGCACAGGATCACCCTGCTTTGGAGATGACTCCGGGCTGTCAAGTGACGGAGGCTGTTTGATGTAGGACCCCTACTTCATTTGTTGCAGAAGTAGGAAGGTATGTGGTTAATGAGCCAGGAGATTGCAAGAAGAGAATGGATGGTCTCATGGTTAAGGCAGTTCAATATGACTCTGGAGAACTCGCTTCTATCCTTGGCTTTGTCACGGAGTTTGTACGTGTGATACTGGGCAAGACGCTTAAGTGGTCACTAGTTGCGTTCTCCTCATTTTCTGGGTTTGACCCAAGACCCTGGGGTCTGATTTCTAGAAATGCTGAGCACTCTCAGCTGCAACAGAGGTCAAGAGGAGCTGAGCTCTGAATATTATAATGCTAGATACTTTGAAAAAAAAAATCACATCCTAGGTGATTCAAATTGGGCACCCAAAACTAGATGATACTTTTGATCATACCTCTATGCCTCAGCTCCCCACCAGTGACATGAGGATAATACTACCCTCTTGCCACACAGGGGTGTTGTGAAGATTAATTAAATAGTATGTGAGTGCTTTGATAACATTTTGGGGAGAGGACAATAGAAATGTCTGTGAGAACCTTCGGTCTTCAGAACAGAGTTTGAGTAGATGCAATAAATAAGGCAGGGGGGCATACATTGAACAGTGAGGATAAAACAAAATAATGAATAGCTGCTCATTCTGTGAGCATCATGCTTTCTGTGCACTGAATAAGGCAGGCAGCCTAGGGGGCTAGGAAGGATGTAATCATGTAATTAAAGACTGTACCTCTGCTTTATGGTTCACAGGACCCAAATTAAGTCTGCACAGGCAACTTAAGTTTAGCAATTCCTAATTTTTGCGTGATTGATTTTCTTTACATATCCAGTGTGGCTTTTACTATGGAAACCATAACTCAGTTTTCTGACTCTTGTGTAACTTCATCCTTGAAAAGATACCACATTAGGGTTTTTATGTCTCTTGCAAGGCAAAGGTGATTTAATGGTCATAGCAGAAGAGTGGGAAGCAGTAGATCTTTCTAATGTTGGCTCTGCCACAGACTTCCTGCAGCAAGGGACTAGTAACTTCATCTCAGTTTTGTTATCTCAGAACAGGGACAATGCCTACCTCACACAGATGTTGCAAAGCTTAACGCATTAATGTTTGGAAAGTGATCTGAGACCTTCAAAAGGGAGATGCTACAAGTCTGAAACAATGCATAACTTTGCATTATATCACTGTCAATAGCGAGGGCTAGCACAGCTCTAGCTATATTGAGGCAAAAATACCTAATGCAGAGAAGTCCTCCTTAGTATATTTTACTAGCTACATACATAGGAATCAGAGGCAATGAACCCAGTGTACAGGACCTTTCAATTAACGTTTCAGGTATTGTACACAGTATATTAGGAAAGTTCAAGAAACAAATACATTGTATTTACATACATGTGCAAACATAAGGCACACTTGGAGGAAGAGAGAGTCTATTTTCTGTAAGTTAGGGTAGCAAACAGATGAAATTGGGAGCACGTGCGTCTAACTTTCAGTCTGCAGTTAATCATTCTTTAATTTAAATCAAATATATATTTTAGGATCATAATTTAGCAAACATTTATCACCTGAGGGAATTTGACACCTAGGTACTATGTTGATGGGGACATAGGAATACTTAGACTAAAAATCCTTATCCCCTTCCATTCCTAACAAACTCCAAACAGACCTCTTTAGCACATGTACTTTCAACTGGAAAACACATTTTTCCTCTTGCTGCTGTGATATCCACACTATAACCATGTCTCAAAGCTATACAGAGCTAATCTAGCCACACAGGCTAGATAAGCCCCATCACTTCATGTAAATTGAAGTACATCTGTGTGTAAAAACTACTTTTAAAAGTTAACTTAAATTAGAAGCATAGGAGTTTATTTTGGGAAACAGACCACAAAATACCTGTGTAGGAGGGTATATAAACCTGATCAGAGGGTAAGAAAGCACAAGTTAACCTCAGTTCGTTACTCTTCAGTCCAAGAGAGAATGAGATGATGACTACTGCTGGAACACTAAAGCGGACAGCCTCTTGAATTGTACATCTGGGGACAGAGTAAACTTGGTTGATGGCCCTCAAGTCTGGAATTCAATCCCTTCACATTGGTCCAACAGAAAATTTGCTGATCTGCAGGGCATGCTGCAAGGCCTCTGTTTAACCAGGCTTTTTCCAAGGGGCTGTCTAATGGAGTTTGTTTGGCAAGGCAGAGGTGTGCATTATTTGGATTACATTAGTTAGCGTGGTCTTTAACAATGTATTATGATTGGGCTGTAAATGCAACTAGATAATAGTAATAGGGGCATCTTATAAATGTAAAAAAAAGAGCAAAATTCAAGGAGATGTCTGGCTGGTGAGAGTTTGAACCTGTACAATTTTTTGTTATCACTGTACTGCTCAGTACTAAAATCTCACTTTTTACCCCTCAAAAACAAACAAAAAAAAAAACAGCCACAACCAGTAAAGTTAATACTACCATTCTGTATTTAATACAACACCCCAGGGAATAAAAGCTGATTGATAAATGCACTTTGATGTTGGAGGCACTTGGCTTTGGTATCATTATGTGCTCCAGTCACCTGTCCCATCAGATATTACATATTCATCTATTCTCCAATTAACCCATAATTTCTTCATAGTTAGTGTGTTCTCTTTAGTGATTTCAATTTGACTAGTTATATATTAAACTGATGCCGACTATCACCAAGAGAAAACTGACCTGGTGTTCAGAGGAGATGAGATATGGGGCAAGACTAGAATATTTAAATACACTACATCAGTAGGGGCTAAAAAGTAGTAAGTTTCCTTCACCTTCTCATTCTGGTAATTGTAAGTATATACAGATGGAATGCAGCTAATAAAATTGGTCTTTAACTGCCTGAAGCTAAGCATGTTCTCATATCCTTAAACCAAAGTTTGATCCACAAGTGTCTGGCTTCATTTCCTAAAACCTGACAGGAAAGAAAGGTACCATTTACCCACACATTGATTTTTCATGTTTTACTTTCAATAACTTGTAAGTATTAAAGGGGAGACAGTTTTCAGAATCACAACCAAGAGCTCCCCCCGCCTCTTTTTGATGGCAAATTAGTGAAGCCGGAACAGTGAGTTACAGCGAATAAGTGAATGCTATTCATCATAATCATTGCTCTGGAGGGAAGGATAGTTGGGACAGTGCTGTCATCTCACAAACCACCCGAACCATCATTGATATCCATCCATGGAGCAGTGCACGGACGATGAAGATGCAGCCTCTTAGTGATGCACGAGTTACAGCCGCCAATGCTCCAGTAGTTTCAGCCCCTTTCCTTCACAAATACTACAGCATGGGATTTAAGAAAGATGCTTACGGAATTCTCTTCTCCCTCCCAAAACATTTGAAAGAACCAACACATTTCCCACAATCTGGGTTTTTTGGCAATGGACACTACCCCATACAGACCAGCCATCTGTTCTTACGAAAAATATACCACAATTGCTGAGACAAGGTCTTGTGTAATAAAGTTAGCACTTGCACAGTGACAAAATGGTACCCCGTATAATGGCAAAGAGACTGCACTTCATTTTAAAATACAGCACATTTGTATTTACTCTTGACTGCTAGTTGTACAATATTCTGGAGATTACAATTTCTGTTACTAACCTCAGTTTTGCTTTCCTGTCTAATCCAACAACTCCCCTCACAATCTGCTGGCAAAACCCATAGCACATGAACAGGACTGAGTTTTCTGCTATGTTGGCTACAAGTGCTGGAGTGGTCCCTTTATAGAAGCCTCGCAATCCAACTTGTTTATATGTCTTCACAATACATTCAATGAGTCCTTTATACATGCTGGGAAATGTCTGCATCTTCACCTTAGCTGTATCAAAGGGCTGGCCGGTTAGCACACATGCAGTCCCACCTGAGGAAATAGAGTATCAACATTCAACAGCCCCTTACTGATCATGTGAGAGAATATGCAACATAATGAAGAAAGCCTGTTTTGTGGGAAACAAAAACCATGCAATATGCAGAGAGGGACAAATTCATCACTGGCATAATTAGGCCCAACTCAATCAACTTTGGTGACACCAAGGACATTGGCTCTTGCAACATTTTTTTTTTTAAGTTGCAGAAGTACCAAATGAAAAAAGATCAATGCTTGATTTAGAACATTTAGACACTCGTTCATAACACAAGGCCATCAATTCATATATTGAATAGATGGTGAAATAAGAGTTACCAGTGGAATTAACATTCTGTGTGTGTTAGGCAGTCACCTCATCAGATGAAGGATAAGTAGATCTGAATGATGTGAAGAGATTGTGCAAGAAACTAAAGCAGCTGAATGTGTGAATCCAGCACCTTTAGTTGTTTTTGAGGCAGGGAGAAGGTACATTTTGTTTTGAAGGGGTGATTCTCATTAGTACCCAAACTCTGAGTGGAGCCAGTTTGTATTATACTGCTGCTGCTCCTCCTGTGTCACAGGGTGAGCCAGAGGAACTCCAATCTGAGCTCCCACGCTGCTTCATTTTCCTCACAGGTCAGGTGATTGCAGGCTACACAGCTAACCAGGCTTGGAAGCAGGATATGACACTTCCTGCACTCACTAGGGGAGGGATTAACTAAGGACAGCAGAAGCTGGCTGGGGCAGATGTGGCTCCCTGTTGAGAGAGCTGGGGCAGGTGCCTGTGATGGGCTCTGTTGAAGCCCCCTGAGGCAGTCTAGGGTGAGGGTGGGGAAAGAGCAGTGAAGAGTCTGGAGAGAAACCGGGGGTGGCTCCTCACTGAGAGGGAGCCAGGAATGTTGTCTGGAAGTAGCTTGGCTGATGACTGCTGGAAGAGGCCAGGGAGAAGGCGGCTTCCCTGGAGAGAAGTGAATATAGGAAATGGCATTAGGAATCTGAAGCCGAGGAACTGAGTTGAGAATGGATGGCTGGTACAGGGTCCCAGGGCTAGAGCCCAGAGTTGGAGGTGGTGTAGGAACTCCTGCAAGGGGCAATGAATTTGTGAGCCCTCAGATAAGGGGCAGAGGCCCAAGTTAATTCCCTCTTGAGCAAGGGCTGAAAGCCTTTAGAAAACCCTTGCCAACCAATGGCAACTAGGAAAACCCTGCTTACCAACAGGAAAGACTTAGACGCCAAGGATAGCTTGGGCCTTGGTATAAGGGGAGAAGAAGTCCTATTCAACCAAGGAGAAGGACTTGTGTGTCACACACCTCCTACACAGGACTGTGGCCGACTGAAGGTAAAAGTACTTTTTTACTTTTGTTTAGAATTTATTTACCCCAGAAGAAAAGGACTCATTTTGGCCAGAGGGCCAAGTTACCCCAGCAGCCAAGCAAGACATCTCCAGAGAGAAATCTGAAGCATGGCCACACACTTAACAAGGGACTGGATAATTGGATCCCTACAACATCTTCTGTTAATTGGTTTGCTAGCCTAGTACACTGTCAAGTCAGCTTCTGTTGAATGGCAGAGATCCAGCTGAGCACAGCAGGAACCACCACAAAACAAGAGCGAGGCGTACACAGTGAGCTTGCAGCAAGAGGGAGAAAACATAAAGGAGATCTTTAAAAACGCTAGAAGATGAGGAAGGAAAGGAAGATTAACAGCAGCCTATTAGAACAAAGGAGGAGGATTATAAAGCTAATCGAGTAAGCAAAGCAAGAGCAATCTCTTTATAAAGGATTTTAAGTATCAAAGTGATTGAGAAGTTTAAAGGCTTTCGCTTCTTCATCCTGTTTGAAGTTAATATTTGAGTTGCAACCAAAAGAGGAAATTGAGCAAAGAACTATAATCTACCTTTAAACCTGCTTACCTGTTTACTGACAGAAAACAGGCAGATTTCCCTGAATAGTGGATGTAATTTGGGGGGAGGAAGGGCAGATGGGGGAGAAATGCCATCAGCTTTGGCACATCTCTTTAAATGAAAGCTAGGTTTCCTAGCCCTCATGATAGCCAAGATGGCACTGTATTAGCTTTCTTTCACAAAGTTATCTTCCTAAGTCTGAAGACTGACTGCTCTGATGCTGACTAGAGGTGTTAGTTTTTGCGCTGCTGCTGTTTCGACCCTGTGAGCATCAGTGAAGCGGACCAAAAAAAACAAAAAAACAAGTGATTTCACTGTTCTATTGTTTGGGACAGCGGCAGATCTTGCTTGTGAATCACTACAATAAGGACCCAAAAGCAAGGTAGAAGAAATAGCAGAAATAGGCTGCTCTAGGATGGGGATGAGGTAACAGGGGAAATAAATAGAAGGCTCCCTCTCAGCCAAAATGGGCCTTTGTGTGGAAACCTTCACATTTGTCTCATACCGAATAGCCACAGGCCAATATAAAACAAGTATACCTGGGCAGAGTCAAGGGACAGTAGCTTGGTAGAAACTCCAGCAACCTTCTTTTAGAGGTGTTACCCCTCGATAATGGTAGCTGCACCCCCTCTTCCCTCCACATGTCACCACCTTTCATACTGACCTCTGGATTTAGACCCTGGATCACAGGTATCTTGTAACATTTGAGTCATGGCTAATACTCTTGGATCCATGGCACAAACACAGGGAACATTCCTCGAATACTGACTATCTACACAGCACCTAAACACCCCCAGTGGGCCAATGCCAGCCGACTTGGACTGTGGGGCTGTTTAATTACTGTGTAGACTTCTGGGCTCAGGCTGGAGCTCGAGGCTAGCTGGGTTTTTTTCTTTGCTGTGTAGACATACCCTGAAGTAGCTGTATTAGAATATGCAAGAGATGTGATTAGATGGCTAATGTGATGAATTTGTTATTAGTAGAGCACCAGCAGCAGTGTTAGGCACTGTACATAGATATGTATTTTCCATCCTCTTTGTATAACAACTTAAAAGTTAATTTATTTCTCCTGACGTTTCATCCTTACCAACTATATTTTAGGTGATATGAGAAACTGATATTTTCATTTGTGGCTAAGTGGAAGAACAACTTGAGTGAACTGCTGACCTTATGTTACATTATTCAGAATACCATAATGTTTCCTCATCTTCCAAAGAGACTTTCTGAATGTGGATTAAAGAGATAACCCTTTAGATAGCTTTCTGCCCCTTTCAATTAGAGAGAGTTTTTAGGACTGAAGCATTATCTCAATCACTTTGCTTGCACATGGTGTTTGCCTTTATTGCAAAACTTTACTTGTGACTGACATTTTGAAACTCATGTGGGCATGAAAATACACATTAGATGTACTCAGACCTACTCTTAGAAAATCATTAGTCTGAAAGAAGTTACATATTTACTTGTTGGCATTGGTTTCAGTGGAGTGATATTAACCTATCAGATGTTTGCAACACTGGGCTAGGTCAGTTAGTTCCCTTCTTCATCTCAACATCTTTCTTCAAATGTGGAAGATGTGCCTCTTGTACAGATTTTCAATTATTAACAGTGCCAGTATGACAAATCACCATTACTGCTAAATGACTGCTGATTGCTAAATCAGATTAATGTCTTTACACATGTGAGGAGACTTGCTTTAAGAGCACAAGCTTGTTTGTATCAGATTCTATTTTCAAAGTTTCTGAGAGTTCTCTCCAGTATTACCTGCTGCACCTGCTGTGAGGTCGATGGCAGCTTGAATGGCGGGATTTGTCCTCATGTTTCACCCTTGCTTATTGGCTGCTATGGAATAAGAAATCTCCAATGACAGATAAGGTGTCGTGATATGTATGCCTAACATGGAAAAGAAAAAAAACATTAGAACTACAGTTAACCTGCATATTTCAGCTAAACTACTTTCTGCAGACCACCCATTATGCCCATATAGCCACTTCTATTCATCTTCTCTTAAATCAAGAGTTCTATGGCAGAGAAAGGATGGTCCAATGGTTAGGGCCATAGCCTTGTACTTGGAAACCCAGGTTAAATTCCCTGCTCTACCAAAGATTTCCTGCGTGACGTTGGGCACATTACCTAGTCCCTCTGTGCCTCACTTCCCCATTTTACAAATGGGAAGAATAGTACCTTTTACTTCAGAGGGATGCATTAAGATAACTGCACTAAAGTTTGTTAAGAGCTCAGGTACTAGAGTGGATGCCATATAAATACCTCAGACAGATATCAGTATCACAAAGGATGACAGGAATACGTAGGAAATATCTGGAAAGAGGTTTGGTTGTCTTGTGTTCCCAATACAAGTCTTTTTAATGGAAGCCGCAGATTTAATTTACAGGATGCTGCCCAATGTGGATTTTATTTGGTTGTGTCTCAGGAAAGTGGTTGGCACAATAAATACCCTACAAGGGCAACGTTTTCAAATAAAACACCCCTCATTAAAATAAATCTGCAGATCAATTCAAAGGCTATTTCAGGAGGTGAAAGGATTCATTTTGGGCAACAGAACCAAGTTAGAAAACGAAATATTAAAGACTTAAACTAGTTTGAAATTCAAAGATCTACATCCAGGGGTAGTGATACTGCCAGCCAGATATTCAGTATGGTACTTTTAAAAAATGAGATACAAAGAGTGAGCAGTTGTACTAGCAGAGTATTCCCTTCCTTACATTAATTTTTATTTTTTTCAAGTAAAGGGGAGATCTACAGAAGAATTAAAACACTCCTAATATGTACTGTATAAATATTTCATCCAAAGTGTTTTGGGGGCTAGCTGATAAAGAAATGGAGGGGGAAAGCAACTCAACATGCAGGGAGGGATAAATTCAGACAAGGGAGTGTAAGAACAGTTGTACCGCATCCTTTCTAAAGTTCTGTGATGAACAGACATGGGTTTATAAGAAACATTTTGAAAGGTCTGTTCCTACATGCCTGTTTATTATTTTGACAGCTGACAAATTGTGTGCCAAATAAATATTTACACTTATGAAAGTGCTGATTCTTTCCATTTTAGAAAGGTCTGGCTTGTATTAGGCTGAATATAATGGGATAAAAAAATCAGCCATTACAAGTACATACAGTATTTCTGAATTATATTTAAAGATTTGAAAGGTATTATTCCCATTAGCATAGTTAACTAGCTACTGTTATTTCAAGATAAAAAGGCTCCAAGATTGTTACACTTAATTATCCTGAAATTAAGGTCATTACTGTCCTCAAAGCACTTTGTGATTTAGCCCCTTTGATCTAGTTGAAGAGCAAAAGAAAAAAAAATCAAAGAGACTAAAGAGTCTCTGAATGAAAGGAATCACTATGAAGTAGTGAGTCTCTCACTGCAGTGGAACTTGCATTATTGCTACACTGCACTAAATGTAAAGGAAACCATACCAAGCCACAAACTGAATATATGCTCATTTCCAATCCATCCTGCTGATGAGATTTATCACAAACTGGGAAAAGTGAAGGCAAAACAAGGAAGAGTTTTTCAAATAAAAGAGTTAAGTACCCTGACCAACACAAGTACCCAGCCATAGCACTAGATTTAACATTACGTAATTAAATCTAAAACCCCATTTATTGCAGAGGTAGTCAATAGGCAGACTGCAGGCCAAATCCGGACTGCCAGACACTTTTGAACAGACCCTGAAATCTTTTTATTTACCTTTTTCCCCCTCATTTCTCTGGAGTCTGGACCTTCACTATACCTTGACCAAGAAATTTGGACCTTGACAAAAAAATAATTGACCATCCTGGTTTATTGATACCATTTATAATCTTATAGATTTTTCTGAATTTGCAGTAATAAATGACTGGTGCCCTAAAAATCACCAAAAGATTGTTAAAATAGCAATCACTCATTCAGACTGCAAATCCAAAAAAAATCAAGGAGTCATGTAAGATCTTCAGGAAATTAACATTTAACAATTCTGTTGCCTAGAACTGAGTGTCTTCCATCCAAGGACCTCAAAGGACTCTCCAAATACTGAATGATTAAGCCACAAGACCCTCCTGCAAAAGAAGTACTAATGCCCCGCTTCAGAGACCAGGAAGACGGGGCATGACTTGACTTGTCAAGGACACAGCAGGCCAATGACCAAAGTAGAATTTGATTTCAAGGGCCATAAAGGTGCCATTTCTTGGCTGAGGCTCTTATTCTTCACCCCAATAAGAATGAACTTGTTTTTTTCATTATCAGAATGCAAGCTTTGAGAGGAGTAGAAGCATAAACCTGAGGCTGTCTTACTGTTTCAATTTAGGTAAAAGAGGTTAGGCTTGCAGAAGCTGTGATAAACTTTCCTGCACTACCTTAGTTAAAAAAAATTCAACTCACGCACATTACATGAATAAAACAAAGGGAGGAATCCACCTTCAGAGCTTGTGGTCTCAAGGGAAGGTGGGAGAGTGTTAGGCTATATCTCCATTTAAAATGTTACCCCAGATCAGCTGTGCCACTGTAGCACTTGAGGGTAGACACTTATTACAGTGACAGGAGGAGTTCTAATCCACCTCCCCAAGAGGCAGTAGCTAGGTCAACAGAATAATTCTCCCATTGAGCTAGCACTGTCTACTTGGGGACTTAGGTCAGCTTAGTTTTTTTTTAAAAAAAAGCTTTTACTAGTTATGTGCACATCTCTATCTTCCATGAATATTCTAGCCTGTACACATTTCTAAGCAAATGCTGCAGAATACCCACTGAAAGCAAACTGGGTAATTGTAATAATCACTATTTACATCAGAAGCACAATTCTAAGGGACACTCTCAAATTAGGCACTCAGATCTATACACTTAATTGAAAACCTCCAATTTCTAATACACACAACGATCTGCTTGTAAGTTACAGACCAAGCACTATTGGTGGAAGCCAGGCAGTTTCGAACAAGGAATTACTTCGGGAAGCAAGCTGTTTTGTGGACAAGTCACAAACAGAAGGGGCCAAATTTGCCCAGTAAGTCACCGGCCAGCTCTAACGGGGTTGAACTGGGGCAAGTCAACTGAATCAGCGTCACTGGCACAAGTCACTGCCAAAGATGCTATGGCCTGTACTGGAAATCGCGCCTAGGACCGAGCTCCGCAGTCACAGCGGGCGTGCAGCCGCGTGTGCATGACCCTCACTCTCTTGCTCACGGGGTGGCAGCTCATTAGAAAGGCTGCAAAGGTTATTCCTCGCGTCTCCCTCGCCGCTCTCACCACGTGACGGGCCGCTGCTCAGGCTCCGCGCTGCAGCGGCACCGGCGCAGCCGGGATGGCGGCTCAGGTGCGGATCACGCCGGCTGGAGCAGCTCTGGCTCCAGGCACCAGCCTGTCGCTGTGCGGTGCGGCGCCCGCGGGCCCCAGCAGGGAGGGCGCTGAGCGCCGCCCGCGCACAGGGGCAGCGCAGCAGGGGTTAGTCGGTGAGGCCCCCGGCCCCGCGGCAGACACGTGCGCAAAGGAGGAGCCGGCTACCAGCGCCTCCCCGGCCGGCTCTGCTCCCCAGGCCCAGCCACTCACCCAGCGCGCGGCACCAGCCGCACCGCCCGGCCCCTCCGCCGCTATATAGCCGGGCCGCGGGAGGCGGGGCCCGGCCCAGCCCGGCTCGGAGCGCCGCGGCCCCGCCCCGCGGCCAGGGAAGCGGAACTAGTCGGGGCCCGCCCCGCGGGGACCCTGCTGAGAGGCGGCGGCAGCGCCGCCTTGCGCCCCCCGCGGCGGGGGCTGGGAGGGTGGGAAGGAGGAAGCGAAGGCGCGGAGTGTGCGTGGAGAGACGGGACGGGGTGTCTCCCGAGAGTGGGGCTGTGGGGGTTGGGGAGAGCGGGGGCTGTCTGGGGACGGGTGGGGGTTTGGGGAGATTTGGGGCTGTCGGGGGCCGGGGGCTATGGGCGGGGGTTAGGGTGGGCGGGGGGCTGTCAGGGACAGTGTGGGGTGTTGCTGTCAGGGACAGTGTGGGGTATTGCTGGAAGAGCGAGGGGCTGTGGGGGACGGGTGGGATGTGGGGTGAGCAGGGGCTGTGAGGGTTGGGGAGAGTGGGGGGGGGCTGTCGGGGATGTGTGGGGTGTTGCTGGAAGAGCAGGGGCTGTCCGGGGGACAGGTGTGCCATTGGATAGAGCAGAGAGCTATTGGGGCAGGTGGGGTATTATGGGGAGAGCGGGGGCTGTCAGAGGGGCAGGTGTGGTGTTGCAGAGAGGAGGGGCTGTTGGGGAGGAGAGTGGGGCATAGCAGAGGGAGACGGGGATTATTGGGGGGACAGGTTAGGCCTTGGGGAGAGCGAGGGTTGGGTGGGGCATGGTGGGGGAGTAGGAGCCATTGGGGGAATGAATGGAGCACTGGTGGGGAATAGGGAGTTTTCGGGAGATAGATGGGGCATTGGAGTGAACAGTGGGTTATTGGGATGGATGGGGAACACAGGGCTGTTGGAGGATGGTGGGGGAGCACTGGGATGGAGGCAGGGTGGATATGTGATGGGGAAAGTGGGATGGATGTATCATGAGGGTTCAGAGCATTGCAGGGAAGCAATGGAAGGGTATGGTGGGGGTGACGGTGTGTGTGTGATTGATATAGGAGGAAAGAGAGAGTGGGCTAGTGGGATGTTTTTTTACTTGTTAAAAGGGCAAAGGCCTTGCTATAGCCAGCTCACTTTTATGAGCACTTAAGTGTCATGGAAATAATGGGAGAATATCAAAGGTGCTGTCACAAACAGGCTGGATCCCCAGAGCCAAAAGTCAGTGGAGCTGCACAGGGGCAAGGGTCTGCCTGCACTGATCCAACAGCAGGACTGGAGCAATGGTCTTTTTCTCAAGAGCAGTGACTGGTGACAGAGGTAGACCAAATAAGCAATCTGAACACTACAGCAGCCAGGATTTCCCTGCTGCCATATGGCAAGAAGCCTGCACCTGTTTTATCTAATCTGGAAATTGTTCCCTGCACTCTGCACAGAGTCCACTTTCTTGCTAAGGAATCTTAAATTATGGGCAATAAACAAAAATTCCCTGCCTGTGACCTCTCCATGACTTGTATTATATGCCCCTGAGTAAATCTTGGGTGGTCTAGGGCAGAGGGCGGCCGGGGGGTACTGCAGGTGCTCTGGGGTGGGGTGGCGGCGTGGCCTGGGACCCCTGCTGTTGCTGGGGGAGGGGCAGCAGGCACGGCTTGGGACCCCTGCTATCAGTGAGATGTAGTTTTACTTCATAGAGGCATTTAGTCAGAAAATTACATACCTTTCGATAATAAATTACAAATGTACTTACAAATGGATCGAAACAGAACTTTAATGGCCTGATCCTTCAATTATACCTATAGGGAGACCCTTTGAAATCAGTGGGGCTCTGTGCATTGTATGAAAATATACTTCCTTTTGTTTGTTTTAAACCTGCTGCCTATTAATTTCATGTGGTGACCCCTAGTTCTTATGTTATGAGAAGGAGTAAATAACATTTCCTTAATTACTTTTTCCACACCAGTCATGATGTTATAGACCTCAATCATATCCCCCCTTAGCTGTCTCTTTTCCAAGCTGAAAAGACCCAGGCTTATTAATCTCTCCTCACATGGCAGCCGTTCGATACCCCTAATAATTTTTGTTACCCTTTTCTGAACCTTTTCCAATTCCAATATATCTTTTTGGAGATGGGGCGACCACATCTGCATGCAGTATTCAAGATGTGGGCGTACCATGGATTTATACAGAGGCAATATATTTTCTGTTTTATTATCTATCCCTTTCTTAATGATTCCCAACATTCTGTTCGCTTTTTTGACTGATGCTGCACATCGAGTGGATGTTTTCAGAGAACTATCCACAATGACTCCAAGATCTCTTTCTTGAGTTGTAACAGCTAATTTAGATCCCATCATTTTATATGTATAGTTGGGATTATGGTTTCCAATATGCATTACTTTGCATTTATCAACAATGAATTTCATCTGTCATTTTGTTGCCCCAGTCACCCAGTTTTGTGAGATCCTTTTGTAGCTCTTTGCAGTCTGCCTAGGACTTAACTATCTTGAGTAGTTTTGTATCATCTGCAAATTTTGCCTCCTCACTGTTTACCCCATTTTCCAGATCATTTATGAATATGTTGAATAGGACTGGTCCCAGTACAGAGCCCTGGGGGACACCACTATTTACCTCTCTCCATTCTGAAAACTGACCATTTATTCCTACCCTTTGTTTCCTATCTTTTAACCAGTTACCAATCCATGAGAGGACCTTCCCTCTTATCCCATGACAGCTTACTTTGCTTAAGAGCCTTTATTGTGGGACCTTGTCAAAGGTTTTCTGAAAATCTAAGTACACTATATCCACTGGATCCGCCTTGTCCACATGCTTGTTGATCAAAGAATTCTAGTAGATTGGTGAGGCATGATTTCCCTTTACAAAAACCATGTTGACTCTTCCCCAACAAATTATGTTCATCTATGTGTCTGACAATTTTATTCTTTATTATAGTTTCAACCAGTTTGCCCAATACTGAAGTCAGATTTACTGGCCTGTAATTGCTGGGATCACCTCTGTTTTTAAAAATTGGCATCACATTAGCTGTTCTCCAGTCATGTGGTACAGAAACTGATTTAAATTATAGGTTACAAACTACAGTTAGTAGTTCTGAAATTTCACTGAAATTTGAGTTCCTTCAGAACTCTTGGGTGAATACCATCTGGTCCTGGTGACGTATTACTGTTTAGTTTATCAATTTGTTCCAAAACCTCCTTTAATAACACCTCCATCTGGGACAGTTCCTCAGATTTGTCACCTAAAAAGAATGGCTCAGGTTTGGGAATATCCCTCACATTCTCAGCCAGTAGGCAAAGAATTCATTTAGATTCTCCACAAGGGCCTTATTGTCCTTGAGTGCTCCTTTAGCATCTCAATCGTCCAGTTGCCCCACTGGTTGTTTAGCAGGTTCCTGCTTCTGATGTACTTACATTTTTTTTTTTGCTATTACTTTGAGTCTTTGGCTAGCTGTTCTCCACATTCTTTTTTGGCCTTCCTAATTGTATTTTTACACTTCATTTGCCAGAGTTTATGCTCCTTTCTATTTTCCTGACTAGGATTTAACTTCCACTTTTTAAAGGATGCTTTTTTGTCTCTCACTGCTTCTTTTACTTTGTTTAACCATGGTGGCACTTTTTTGGGTCTCTTATGTTTTTTAATTTGGGGCATATATTTAAGTTGAGCCTCTATAATGGTGGCTTTTAAAAGTTTCCATGCAGCTTGCAGGGATTTCCCTTTTGGCACTGTACCTTTTAATTTCTGTTTAACTAACTTCCTCATTTTTGTGTAGTCCCCATTTTTTAAATTAAATGCTACAATGTTGGGCTGCTGCGGGACCCCACTCGTTATGCCCTTCCAGCATGACTGTGAACCACTGATAACTACTCTCTGGGAATGATTTTGAAACCAATTATGCACCCACCTTATAGTAGCTCCATCTAGGTTGTACTTCCCTAGTTTGTTTATGAGAAGGTCATGCGAGAGAGTATCAGAAGCCTTACTAAAGTCAAGATATACCACATCTACTGCTTCGCCCCATCTACAAAGCTTGTTACCCTGTCAAAGAAAGCTATCAGGTTGGTTTGACACGATTCGTTCTTGACAAATCCATGCTAACTGTTACTTATCACTTTATTATCTTCTAGGTGTTTGCAAATGGATTGCTTAATTATTTGCTCCATTATCTTTCCGGGTACAGAAGTTAAGCTGACTGGTCTGTAATTCCCCGGGTTGTCCTTATTTCCCTTTTTATAGATGGGCACTATATTTGCCCTTTTCCAGTCTTCTGGAATGTCTCCTGTCTTCCATGACTTTTCAGAGATAATTGCTAATGGCTCAGATATCTCCTCAGTCAGCTCCTTGAGTATTCTAGGATGCATTTCATCAGCCCCTGGTGGTTTGAAGACATCTAACTCGTCTAAGTAATTTTTGACTTGTTCTTTCCCTATTTTAGACTCTGATCCTACCTCATTTTCACTGCCATTCACTATGTTAGACGTCCAATCGCCACCAACCTTCTTGGTGAAAACTGAAACAAATAAGTCATTAAACACCTCTGCCATTTCCACATTTTCTGTTATTGTCTTTCCCCCCTCATTGAGTAACAGGCCTACTCTGTCCTTGGTCTTCCTCTTGCTTCTAATGTATTTGTAGAATGTTTTCTTGTTTCCTTTTATGTCCCTAGCTAGTTGGATCTCGTTTTGTGCCTTGGCCTTTCTAATTTTGTCCCTACATACTTGTGTTGTTTGTTTGTTTATATTTGTTTATATTCATCCTTCGTAACATGTCACTTTTAAAGCTGTCTGCCATTATATGATGTAATTGAATGGGGCTCTTTTTCATTTGACTGTTTCTGATCAGATCCTACCTGTATTTTATCATCTTCCATCCTCTCGTCCTTACTAGAACATAGAGAATCTCCATTATTAGCTCCTCCCCTAAGGGATGTCTCTGTCTGAACCACATGTTACTTCGCACTTGTTGGCTTTCCCCTAGCCCTTAGTTTAAAAACTGCTCT